GGGGCGGCGGCCAGGGAGGAACAGCCAAAATGCCCCCTCGGCTTATGCGCGGGTCACCAATTTTTCCCAGTTCTCTGTGGGAAAATCGGTCCCTCGGCTTATACTCGGGTCGACTTATACTCGAGTATATACGGTATTATTATATTAATTTTTCATTTGTTCAGAATTTTGGTGAATGTGCACATGTAGATTTGGCAAATTATGCCAACTATGGCACTTAAGTTATAGGCAGTCATTCTAATGCATAAACAAAAGATTGGTGATTTTTGAAAAGGAAGACTGGAGAAACATAGGAACACTCCAAAAAGGATCCTAACAGCAGCTATGAATAACAAAAATAAGGTCAAAATAACTGGATAAGTGCCAAGGCTAGGTAAGAGATCTAAACATGGCTGGGAATATAAATGAACAGAATGGCACTATGAGATATCATTCTGCTGTAAGACAGTGATGCTAATTAGAAATCTGGCAAGACAATTTTCAGATTCTTATAACAAGGACTCATTTCAGTCATCATTCTCATAAATGTAAGGCTGAAGAATCAATCCAGGAATGGCATCTTGCCAGGCATAGGAAGTATAAAACAGAATACTGAAAAGTCAACACCTGGGGCTGATTAGAGCTAGAGAGAAATAACATTAAGTCAATGTGTGTACTTCTTTAAAACAGTCTTTTACCTTCAGCCATACAGGTATGCTAAACTGGTATCTTAGCTGTATGTTATGTGAGTGTGAATGGGGAATAAAACATCAATGATGTGCTAAATATTCAGGCATCTTGCACATTTTGCAACAATAAAGTAGCATTGTATAATTCTGATGAGTTGGTCAGCTATTTGGATTGGTTCAATACCTTCCCCCCCATGGATCCTACAAAAGACATTTGATCATTCTATACTATTTCACAGATAAAAATGGTTAAGATACAATACAAACCAACATAAACAGAAAAACACCAACCCCCTTTAATTCTGATTTCTCTCTTGAGGTGAACAATGTGGGTTTTTGAAGGAACCATGGGCCTGTCATTTGATGAAAACATAATTAGTAACATAAGTTATTTTTTTCTGAATCTCTAACGTATTTCCTTGTATAGGCCCATTTCATTGCTTCAGCTAACATCCCTAGGTTTATTTTCCTGAAAGCAGCTTCCTATGCTAGTAAAGGCAGTTGGTGTTATAGTCTAATACTGCTTGAAGATTTAGCTCCACAGGTTATGCTCTGTTGCTACTGATTTGCTAAGAAATAATTTCCTAGCAGTTCAGCAGTTGTGATATCATTCAGTTAAAACTCCGGAGTAAAACATTTTCATCCAGTTCTGAGAGAATTTTATTAGAAATGTAAAATAGATTAAACAAAGCTACATTATAGTGCATCTTCATACTTCCCTATTCCTACTATTTGCAAATATATAGATTATTGAAGTTATAGACTGTTTTCTCTTCTGTCAGAAAATATTACTGGGAATTTAACTGTTCACACTTTTGGAAACCATGTTATTATCATTATTTTGTGAGTATAAAAGAGTGACCTTAAAATAGGGATAGCCTTAAGCTGTGACTTTGAATGCAACATTGTGGCGTATGTGGCATCATTTGCCCTTAGAGATTCTTCTAATGAGGGTCACAGATAAGTCAAGAGCCAGATGTTCTCAGGGCAGAGATGTCAGCAAACAATAACTGCTCAGCTATAAAACCATGAAGCACAGGGCAAAGAATCCTTTAAACTGTGAGAAAGCCTGGAGGAATAAGCAATAGATTTAAATAGCAATGAGTATAACAGTGAATTTCATCCCTCATTGTGAGGGCAATCACAATAAAGATTCTTATATAGCTGCACCAAATACAATATCTGAGAGACGTCTGCTGAGTCAGAGCCTAGTACTCTATTCAAGCTATAAAAATCAGTGGCTGGAAATGCCAGATGGGTCCTGAGCTCAGGAAGCCCAACATATATTATGTATTCTTATTTCTTATTTCTCTAAGATGCTTTTTAGTCAAAATAATTATAATTCAGTCAAAATAATGTACTGTTATATTTACTCCAAAATTTAGCACGAAGGTATATATATATATAGTATTGCAATCTAACTCACTGCTGACTTCCAGCAGTTCCATCCTGACCGGCTCAAGATTGACTCAGCTTTCCATCCTTCCTAGGTTGGTAAAATGAGGATCCAGATTGTTGGGGGCAATATTGACAGCTGCCCCCCAGGCACCCGCACGCACACTAGAAAAGCAATGGAGGATCTGAACACAACTATCGGGTCCACCAACAGGCTGCCGGATGCGAATCAACTTAGCACGTTGCAGATTAACACAATCAATGGGCCGATGACGCGCTTGAGAAGCCGGGCGCAGAGACAGGCAGCTATATAGGCAGGCTCCCTAATCACCTAGCATTCCAACTCTGATGAAGTCGGCAGTCTGGTCAACGAAAGCTCAGTAACTCTTTTACTTACAGGCTTGTTTAGATTAAACGGTCTTGTTTATTTTTATCCTGGTGTTCGTTTTTTTGATATTTTTATTGATATGTGTATACCCAGGATTCGCATTTTTAATGTTATTAAGGATATATATATCCTTATATGTAATATAAATAATTAAAAGAAAAGAAAGGGTCTTCAAATATAGATGGAATACATAAGAGGAAGAAGATAGTGTCCTGCATCATAGAATGAAGTCTTTTAACTTTCTATAGCATTTGGATGCAAACGTTGCAAGAATGAGAGAGGGATATATAAAAAGACTTGAGAAAAGTCAAAACTTTGTGTAAAATCTAAACCACTGTCTTTTTAAAAAAGTTACCATAATTGTTCCATCTTAAAAGAAAGGAAAAAGATGACAAAGACCCAGAATGAATATAAAAACCTATTTTACACTATATTTATAACATCATTATTTTTTCCAACTTATTTGTCAGAAAGGGCCCAATTGGCAAAAAAAAGCTCAGGACCGTGTTGATTGGAAATGTGGAAGAAGCCTTCATCCTGCAGTGGATAGACAATAGCTAAAATGATGATGATGATGATGATGATGATGATGATGATGATGATGATGACGACGATGATGATGATGATATGCATATATGCATACACACACACATAAACATGTATCCATCTCATTTTAGTATTTATTATTGCTGTTTTCAGGGTTTGCTCTTTGCATTACATATTGTGTGTGTTACATCAATGCATATAAGACAAGGTATTATTTTTCAACCAGCTTGGTTTTGGGGCTAAGGGAGAATGACTGGCCCAATGTCATCCAGTTGGATTCAATGTCTACAGAAGGACTAAAACTAGCACCTTATATGCTATTCCCACCCAGAAATATACGGCATACTCCACTTAATCCTCCAGGGAAAGATTGAAGGCAAATGAGGTCCAGGCAGAAGAAGAACATCGTGGCTTCAAAATCTAAGGGACTGGTTTGGACAAAACTCAGCAGCACTTTTTTGTGCGGCTGCTGATAAAAACAGGATTGCCAACATGATTGCCAACGTCCGATAACGGATATGGCACAAGAAAAAGAAGAAGAAGAATATGCTATTCCATGCTAACTCTCATAGAGGGAAAGAATGAGAAAGAGAGAGGAGATTTAGTTAAGAATAAAACAGTTTAGTAACAGAATAATTTCATAGACTCTAATACATTGGTTCCAATTCTTTTCACTAGAATTCTCAAAAAATAATGCAATTAATTTATTGAATTATCAAGGACAAGATGTGATAATGGATATCACTTTGATTAGATTTAGCAGTAGATAAATTAAAGATCCCCCAGCCCTCCCTCTTAAGAAGCAGCATGTAGCCAGCTATTTTGAATGTGGAAAAAAGATGTGTTATAAATCACTTTATACCCTCCTGCAAGATAGTATACAAGCACATCAATAATGGTCTAAAGAAAGATGGTAAGTTTCTAGGTATATTTTTGTATAATTAATCTTGTTCCTTTTTATTATAAAATGAATATAACATTCCTGAACAAGATGTAATAGATATACTTTAATAAAAAAATTAAATGCAATTTTTAAATGCAATAATAAGTCTTAATTCCCAGATGTCCTTATTTATAAAAAGAAATCAACAAATAAACACTTCTAATGGAAGCCTTACTACAAACAAAGAGTAACCAATGCCATATTTCTCTCTCTCTCCCCTCCCCCCCCTCTCTGTGTCTCTCTCTGTGTGTATCTGTTGACAGGAGACCTGGCATTACAATGGGCTATTGTTAAAACAATTCCTATGTTAATTAACTACATTCAAAGAACAATGCTGGCGTGAACATAATTTGGGTGAAATACAATATATTTGTAGTATTTATATTGTTTGTTGTATATTAGATAGCCTATTATAAAACAATTAATTAATGGAGTAATGAAATTGTTAAAGCTTTACCCTCTCAGTATATAAAAAATATTCTAGGAAATAAATTTTGATTCAAAAGTTGGCAAAGGAAATTCACCAGGTAATTTTACCAAATTATTAAAAGGCAACTTTCATATTAGTTTCATTTTTGAAAAAAAAGAATAAGGTTTGATATTCATACATTTGTATTAAAAAAAGAAAAGTTCATACAATATTATTTTGATATGCCATGCTATAACAATAATTTCACTCAGTACAAAATTGATTATCCAAATTTATATTCACGTACTTGTTCTGTTTTTCCATGCTTGTGACTCTGAGATTTTCCCAGCGTGAATTTAGAAGATTCATTTGTTCTTGTATTTCATTTTCTTCATCTTCTGAAAGCTTTCCAAATGTTCCCAAAAGTTGGCTGCCTACTTGCAAAACATCACCAACACGTCCTTGGTGAGCAGTTAATTCCATCATAAAACCCTTGGAAAATCATTATAACAACGATTACCAACAGAAAACAAAGTACTCATTTAGAGATTTTACAGATTACTTTAAAATTCCAATTTTTATTGAATAAACCAATTTTTAGAAATTAACAATGTGATTCAAGTGTTTTGTAAAAAGGAAACCAATGAAATAAAAATATCATTCAAATTTTGCATCTTTAGTGTCATATACTGTAACCATAGAAAAACAATTAGCATATGGTAACGTTTTTGTGTTATTGAAATAGACATTGTTCATTCATACCTCATGTGTGTGAAACTGCTCTTTAACTTCCTCTACGTCAGTGGAGATCTCTCCTTGTGCTTGCAATGAATCCTCAGCAGAGAGAAGCCACGAGAGGACTTCTTCTAATGCAGTTTGGTAGCTTTCTAGGTCTCTTTCTGAACTCCTGGGTGAAGTTGCAAATAACTTCTGTTCTTGACTTTCGAAACGCTGATAAATAAATAATGTATTGAAGGAACAATTCACTAGTATTGTATTGAAAAACTTTCTTCTGAATTAATAAATAAAATGTAGTCAATTTAATATTTAATACTTCCTATGGCATCAGTTTCAGCTAAAATCTGGTGCAATATACAGATTTTTATTATTATTTTTTAACAAAGGCATTGGAATTGGCATTGGGTACAAAGCCATCTGATAAATACTAACAGAAAAGAGTAATCAGACATTCTACATGCACAGCTTTAGTTACAGGTATGTGTTATTAAAAATAAAACATTATTTTATGAATTGTGGAGAGCTCAGTTTTTACACTCAGTTACATTATAACTGCATGCAAGGCTACATTAATGCATATAAACATTGTAAATATTTATAAAAGTACAATTGTAAGTTAAAATAATTCCTCCTTTTTTACATTTCAATATAATCTATAACATTATCTTTGCCAGGTATTAAATTAGAGTTCAAATAAATTAGGAATTTAAAACAATGACATTTCTACATTAATATTGTTATACCAAGATCATGCTTGTCTTTTAAAGACAACAGCAGTAATTTTTTTCTTGCACTTGAATATATCTGTCTCTCCTTGCAAAGTATACCTAGTAAATGGCAAACATAAAACTAACCAATTTGGCAGGGACACTTCTCTGCTTTTATTAGGAATGTGGAGCTTCATCACCATTTTTGTCTTTGTTTTATTTACATCACAATTTTTTACACAAGATAAAATATGAACATTTTTATGAGAGAGATGGAGAGAATTGTACTAAGGAAGGTTGACTTTATTTTCTGCATATTTTATTTTTAAACTAGCTGTATCCGGCCACGCGTTGCTGTGGCTCAGTGTGGTAAAAGCGTGTGTTGCTTTTACGTCCAATAGATGGTGCTGTTTTTCAAAAAAGCATGTTTTTACCTGTCACAGGTGTGACATCTATATAATATAGGTATATAAAAACACGTGCGTATTCGAATGCAACGTTGTGTCAAAATTTCAAAGCAATCGGTGAAGAACTTTCGGAGATTTAAGATTTTGAACAAACAAACATTTACATTTTTATTTATATAGATAATTAGGGGAATCCTACATTTCCCTCACAGAGGGAAAAGCCTATGACAAACTAGGCCAAATGTTTTCCTTGCAGAAGAAAAAAAAAAGTTCCTTTCCTCCTTCCTAGTCAAGAGATCTTTGCAGAGAATCTTAGTTATAGATGTCCAAACTAGAAACACACTTCTTTTAACAACATCTTATATTAAGGATATATAAACTGACTGGCACAGAATTTAGTTTGGGAAATTCATTTACAGGAAACAAGAGAATCAATAAATGATATCTGTGAAGAAATACATATATGTAGGATTCTGTAATGGTTTGCATTTGGAATATACATTTTGACATGTTTTGTTTTTAATTCTCAACAGAACTGATGTAAAGCTCAAGGGCCTAGTGAAGTCAATCATTAACACATCCTTGTTTGAAAGTGCAGATGGCAGAGTGAATGGACATCTGATGGAGAACATAAGGACACTTATTGTATTCCCAATAGCATAACCAGAAGCCAGATGTCTATTTTTTAAAAAGTGGGATAAATTGGCAAAAATAAATTAATGGCAAATATGTATTAGGCTCGTTTCTGCAGGCACATATCTATCTATCTATCTATCTATCTATCTATCTATCTATCTATCTATCTATCTATCATATATCTACAAGTTGTAATGTTTACGTATTTTTTTTTCTTTTTCAATTTCAGGTACCAAAAATGTACACATTTCAGGTAAATTTGCAACTTCTATAAACAAGTTTGTCAAGTTATTTTAAACTTATCTGGAGTTCCTCTTGATTTCCCTTATTATAGGTTACATAATAAATGTGAACTGATATGGGTCAAAAGCGAGATGTTTAGTAGTAGCCCTGTCTCTTTTAAAATAAATTTTCTGCGTATACAGACTTTTTTTTTGATAATTTTGCTTTTAAATGGAATAAAATACACTGCTAATATTGGCCTATTATCCATTGTTCAAGGATAAAAAAAATCATTCAATGTTACTTAAATAATTGACTTTATAGATAAATAGGCATGGCAGATCGTCAAAAAGTTTTGATATACTTTGAAGTCTTATGTGTAAAGAAGTTATATTGACATTAATTCATTGAAGTGCATTTTGTCTTAATGTTTAATAATAATAATAATAATAATTTAATTTGTACCCCGCCCTTCTCCTCATAGGACTCAGGGCGGCTAACAGCCTCATAAAAATCACAATACAATAATACAATAATATCTATATTAAAAACCGAATTAAAAGGAAATATTTAAGAAGGCCAATCATTAAAATTACCCTTAAAATTGCCCTTAAAAAACCCCGCTAAAATTNCTCCCCCTGGGGGTCGCCAGCCGGCACTGTCTGGCTGACGGCACCCTGAGGAGACCCACTCTGTGGGAGCGTACCGGCCGATGGGAGGTAACCTGCGGCAGAAGGCGGTCTCGGAGATATCCAGGTCCGATGCCATGGAGCGCTTTAAAGATGATAACCAACACCTTGAAGCGCACCCGGAAGGCCACCGGCAACCAGTTTCTTTTACAAAGCATAATATATACAGAATATAGAATAAAACAAATAGCTTTTCTATGGCTTGATTTTGTTCCTCAGATACTTTCCTTCCCCAGTAAAGAATAATCGTAGAATCATCAATATACACAATAGTAATTATAAACTCTTACTAGTATAATAAGGGTACAATTTTTAAAGATAAATTTCAATTATTTTAAATTAAATATATACTTTTCCAAATAGCTCTCGTCCCCAAAACCAAATTTCCTTTGCACTATTCCACCCTGTAGAATAATGTATTACTCTTTTAATTCTTCTAAAACTATTTCTATAATACAGAGTACTTTTGTACCCCTTAATATTATCCAGAGAAACTTGCTATTAAATGCTAGTAGTTTTCGATGAAAGAATGTATATAATGAATAATAATTACAGTTTCAGAGCTGAAAATGACCCTATTTGATCAGGAGGCATTCCTGTTTTCTATATTAATTTGGGGGAATGAATATCAAATAATTAGAATTTAAAGAAGAAGCAAGATAGTTTTAAACTACCAGCAGGATACAATTCATTTTTTAAAAAATGTATACCTAGTTCTAGCACACTCCTTCTCCAATTTCCCTACAAAACCCTTTTTCAAATACTGTGGTAAAATATCCTTCTGGGAGCACTTTTCTGTTAATTAAACACATCACATAAACCTGTTATCAGTTGCTTTGCATTGCATCCATTTTCTGTTATTCTTTCAGCTCCCCCCCATACCTCCTCAATTATTATACAGATAGGTCTTGATTTATAACCATTTGTTCAGCGACTCTTCCAAGTTAGAACAGTGTTGAAAAAAATGATTTAGCACTGGTCCCTGAAGTGATGGCCATTGTAGTGCTCCCACAGTCATGTGATAAAAATGATTAGTTATTTAAGTTATTTGCTGGGCTAGTATGCCACCAATTCCTGAAAGCTTTGGCAAGCTAAGCGCATAAACATAAAACAATACCCAAGAACTCAAATACATATTTAAAAAATGACAAAAATCAGTAATTATAAGAACCAAACATAGAAATGCCATGCACCTACACATCCACCTTCAATTATAACACAGCTTCCTGCTCTACCAGATGGACACATTTATCATTTTCTTGAACTCAAAGAAGAAAAAAGGTGTGTGAATCTTTGCGAAGAGAGAGCTTAAAAGAATGGGATGGCTATTGAAAATGCATACTTCTAGTGCTCATTACTGGCTTCCTATAGGGATGGCCCTGGTGGGACCTAGCCTTACTTGGTTTGATTGGATAAATTCAAAAGAAGGTGCTCCCTTAGCTAATCAGATCTAAAGGTGAAAACTAGCACCTTGAATTAAATGCAGACGCCAACTGGCAGACAATGCAGTTCCTGATAGCAATGTTTCAATATTTGAGCAGCTGCCACAAAGAAGAGGGGGTCAAGCTATTTTCCAAAGCACCAGAAGGCAAGACAAGAAACAATAAATAGAAACTAATCAAGGAGAGAAGCAACCTGGAATTAAGGAGAAACTTCCTATGGGTAGCTTGTATTCAGAAGTTGTAGGTGCTTCATCAGTGGAGGTTTTTAAGAAATGACTGGAGAACCACCTGTCTGAAATGGTATAGGGCAGTGATGGCGAACCTTTTAGAGACCGAGTGCCCAAACTGAAACCCAAAACCAACTTATGTATCGTCGGGTGCCAGGTGGGTGTGGCCCATTGGGTGGGTGTGGCCAATTGACTGTGTGTGGCTACGGTGGTAACGGCAGACTGGGTGGGACTAAAAAGTTCAATCAATCAATTCCAACTGCGAGATCTTTTTTTTTCCTTCGAGAAGCTGAAATTGATTGAACCTTTTTTTTCCCACACGGTGGTGGAGGACTAAAGGGAAAAGGTTTTATAAAACCCAGCTGAAGGCCTAGGACTGGGGGGCCGGCATGCGTGCCCACATAGAGGGCTCTGCATGCCACTTGTGGCACCCGTGCCATAGGTTCGCCATCACGGGTATAGGGTCTCCTGCTTGAGAAGAGGGTTGGACTAGAAGACCTCCAAAGTTTCTTCCAACTCTGTTATTCTGTTACTTTGATGTTACCAAAAATAATGAGATACCAATCAATATCTGGTGTCATGAATGTGATGCAGTGATCCAAATATCTAGAGTATATAAGTGAATGTGAACAAAAATTCTTAGTCCAGGAATGATTACAATTAACATATAAAAAGTAGCTACTGAAAGACTGTCATAGCTGCTACTTACACCTAAAGTAGGAATGTTGAATTTAGTAGAACCCCCACATTGTGAACCATCTTTGATCAGAAGACTATAACTCTATTCAAAGTTAGATGCTGAATTCTGTATACCTGTCCAATTCACAATCCCAAAATTACTTTGTGTTGAAAGAATTCAGTTAGAGGCTTTTGTTCCCTATACAGATGATTACAACCTTCCATCACCAAGCAGAACTCCCACCACATATCTAATGGTATGTGGCAATGTTCTTGGGAGACAAGAGGAAGAGTCACAATTAGACAACCATGATGGAAAAGACATCTCATGCAAAGGGGGCATGGGAAGTCTTTCAGAGGGGAGGCTTCCTATTTTTCCAAAGAGTAAATGGAAAGATGGGGAGAAATACTTGCAATAGGGCAAGATTCTGTTACTGTTACTTTAACCTTATAGTAAANATAGTAAAGATAAAGCTAGTATTAATTGTTGTGCTTCTTTCTAGACTACCTTGGAGGGCTAACACCAATATTGTAAGCTGTTTTTTTTTGGGATGATATGTATAACTAGATAATATCACCATACTGTTAACATGAAGCCTAATGCTAATGGATGATCTGCCTTCATGTACAATAGATGTTAAAAAGAAATGAAGGAAATAGAGATCCTTGAGGCATGTCACAGATAAGAGATCTCCAGGCAGATTCATTGAATGAAATTGTCCATTCAGGAAATAAGGCAGTTACTAGGGCAGTTACTAGAGCAGTTACTAGGTTTCTATCAAACTCAGCTTTTAAGGTATTCAGGAGAAAAGATGGATGTCGTAAATGAATTTTACTACACATCATACAGAGATATTTGTTTCAAAATACAATAAAAAAGAAATAGAATAATGTAAATTTGCTCCAAAATGGGGAAATATTAACCTTGATAATAAGTAGCAGAAACTATATTTAATACAGCTATAGGGGTTAATATGGCTGTGGGTAGGGCAATAGAGGCAAAGCAGATCTGTCATTTCTGTCACTAATTGAAGGTATCTAACAATCAAAAATAAAGAATACAGAAGGTAAATAATAATGATAGATGTATGCAGACATATGAGTTATTCTGCAGTTATTTGCTTTAGTAGTCATATTGTGATATTTTTTTTCCTTTTCAATTGTGTCCGATTCTGGGAGACTGCCTGCCTGCAGATTTCCTGGCAAGGCTTTCCAGAAGTGGTTTGCTTTCTTTCTTGGGCTGAGAGAAAATGTCTAGTCCAAGGTCACCCAGCTGGCTTTGTGCCCAAGGTGGGACTAGAACTCACAGTCTTCTGGCTTCCAGCTTGATGCTTTCCACTACGCCAAAGTGGTTGTCAAATTAAAATTACTGAGTTCTAAATACAGCTACCACAATTTCTGTTTTCAGTCTGTCTCTAAAGCTATCCTTGGTAGGGGTATGCAAAATTGTCTGATGTTACACTTGTTTAAGTAATTATCCCTTTTAAAAAAACTATATGCAATATGAAGAGCAAGAGAGAAATATCTGTTAATACAGAATAAATATTTATTGACCTGATGTCTAAGATTCAAGAAATGCAACCTCATATAATGTATGACATTTCTTTCATTTCTGCACTGATTCAAAAAGGCAAAGAGAAATGTTTAGGAAACTGAAGAAAAACATCTCCTCAATGTTCATAGTTGTTATTTATATCTTTGAATATAGATTTATGATATAAAAGAATTAAGGATTGGATTTATGTCTTTAAAACTTAATCTTTTATTGAGGCTTTTAATATTTTTACAATAACTATCTAATGTAAAAAAGAAGGTGTAACTAGAAAAGGCGAGCCTTATAGAAAAAAGAGTTGGCTGACCCAAATAACACAAAAAACCCTAACAAGAATACCACTGAAAATTAAAATGGACAAAAGCAAAAAGGGTGCATTTATTTCCCACAGCAAGCACAGGCGTATTAGAAGAAGAGTTTGTTATTCACAACAAAAAATAGTATTGACAGACCTGTGGAGGGAACATCCTCCCTTTTTGGTCAGGGGACATGACATAAGCAGTTTGTGTGTACGCATAGCTTTTGAAACGAGGCTTAGGTGAAGGGGTGCACACATGGCCCTGTGCTACACTGACTTTGATCTAAGGAGAAGAAATTAGGAAGAAAAGCAGACATACATGGATGAATGTGGGTAACAAAATGGATGAAATGTAGTATATTTCAGGGGAGAATGTCAGCAGCCATCTTACTTCAAGAAATGCTCAAGGATTAAACAGCAAATATATGTTTAATGAGAAATAGAAAAAAATATTTGAAGTACCTGTAATTATCCCCACTATGAAGCCTATCATCAATAAAGATCTCTGTGATTAAATGCACTTAAAGCAAAAGGACATGAACCCAGAAAGGTTCTGAATAAATATATTCAGTTCTCTGCAAAGGTGTAAAATGGTCCGGTGGCCCATAAAGGCTGTAGTAACTGTAATTAATATCTGAAGGCGCCAGAACTTCTAATTACATCACTCAATATAACTGTAAGAATGGTTAGACTCACTAGGATTGAAATTTACTTGTAATGGCATACCCCGCCAAAGAAAGAAGTTATTTGGGAATTAGTATAGAAATCTAAACCTGAGATAACATGACTACTTTCAAAACCAAGAAATAGTCTGTGAATATATTTATATTAAAACAATAACAATTACAAAGAGATATTATCACAGTCAGAATGGAAGAACTTCATGTACTCATCTCTCTTTTTTATCGTTTGAACTACAGGCACAAGGATGAGTAATCATACAAAATAAAAGAGGTCTTTGTTTCAATATGACATTTTCCTTTATAAACCTTTGTGGGGAGTGGGGAATGACCTTGCAGAAATCCTGGAACTTCTTCAGTCTTTTCTAAGGTTTGTTTTTAAAAAGACATAATAAGCATCACTAAAACAAAATAACTTCTGAAAGTATGCAAACTACAGTGTTAAACTGAGATGGTTGTGAGTAACAAACCATGAAAAACCAAATTAAATACAATAAATTCTCAATGAGATTAGCTAATTTTGTTGTGAGTTTTGTCTACTATAAATACTAGTTTAAACGTTTTCATTTTCTAAACCAGGGGTCCCCAATCCCTGGGCCATGGCCCACCTCTGGGCCTTGAGCTGTTTGGAACTGGGCTGCAGAAGTGGCAGGTGAGCACATGCATGCATGCACACATCCCCACTTGTGTGAACAGCGGGTGAGCAGTGTGCTCCATTTGCGCAGAACCATCGCCTTTCTCCCCCACACTGGTCCACAAAGCCAAAAAGGTTGGGGAAACTCTGTTCTAAACAACTGAGACCACAACTGACTGCTGTTGGAAAAGATTTTATTTTCACAAAAGGCCTAGACAGTCTCATGTAATATCTTCTTTTGGGTATGGAAAGATACCCAATGGCCATGAAGTATTCATTGGTAGGGAGTTTTTCTTGAAGAAATATTTTAACAGAAAAACTTTGTATATTAATTTTTAATGTTCAACCACAATATGTCCTGTGATGCTTGATTTGAATCTTTCTTTAATTATTCAGCTTCTGCTACTTTTTAAGTTCATATTATCATCAGAACATAAAATTATAGAAAGAAGCTGCTCTGAAACACACAATAGGACCCAGTAGCTATTAGATCTGGCTAATAGCTAGGGAAATGAAAAATTATGCTAACTGATACAAACATGACCTGAACATATTAAATAATTAATATAGGATTACTTCCCTAGTAGATCTACTGATGAATAGTTTCCAATTATTCATGCTTTTTCATATATGCATATTGTTAAATGAAACAATCAAATAGACAATGAAATAACATTAAGCAATTAAAAAAAAATAAGTAGCTTTTAGTAAGTTATTATAATCCTGAAAACTTTGGGTCGGCAAAGTCTTAATAATATCAAAGTAAGTGTCTTGACATTTACCATACTGTTTCAGATTTTTTAAATAAATGTGTGCATGTTATTCCAGCTTAACATATATCATGTGAAACACAGAAATAACAAAAATCTACATTTTGAAAACAGCAACTTTTAATATGCATAGCTGTTAAAATATAATCCATGAAAATAAGATCTGAAATCAATGAAAGGCAACCTTTTCCAGGTTGAAAAAGAAGAACTATAATTAAAAATAATTTAAGGGTAGGTCTAAAATATTTCAGCTTGTGGGATAAAGTGATCAATACCTGGATAAAAATAATACGAATTTCACCAGCTGTTCCCAATACCTTAACATTTCTACCCAAATAGAAATGTTCAGTAATAATCCTTGTAAATTGTTAAATGACAGATTTTGATAACTACAGGGAAGTTCAGTAGCTTCACTGTTTCATAACTGGAGTCTCTTTACCACTTAAATAAACAAAAGACAAGCATACAAATAACTCTGCAGGAATTTACTGTTCACTAGTCTCAAATAACAGGGGGAAAAATCATACAACTCACCTGTTGAGAAAACCGTTGTGGATGTAATTGGATTTGTTGTTCTCTAATGTGCTTTACTTCCTGTGGCAATGTTTCAACTTCATGGATGGCTTCTAGAGTAACCTTCTGGGGCAGGACTTGGAAAAGTGATGTCACATACATCAAGATGGATTTCTTGTCAGGATAGGTTGTTGCAACATCTGCATGGGCACATTAGACATACAAAAATTTACACTGTTTATAAGACTTCATAGAAAGAGTGTCCTAAGCAATTCATTTTTCATTTAAGTTAACAGTAAACTAAAAACACAATAGCCGTGAAGGATCATGCCAAGGCCCAGCTTAACAATGTGTCCACAGATGCTTCTGGGGCATTTGCAAACAGAAGAAGGATGCTCATTTCCTAAAAGGCAGCTTTATTTGGAATAGCTTACATCCTGTGAGAATACCTTTAGTATTATTAAATAATAACATCTGCCTATCACAGGTCGTTGGGGGAGGATCCAATAGGTGGATAAAAAAGCCAAATCCAGTCTAAACATTTGGCCGATTGTGCAATGCATCATAATGCATAAATATTTATTATCCTGTAACAATTAACTATAAAGAATTCAGTTTATGTTAATTAGATAATAAAATGAGCTATGTGTGGAAAAGAGACATATATAGAAAAGAAATCAGAACAACACAGATAAAGCAACCTACTTTTGCATAAAGTTTCCTTGTTAGAATAAAAAATATATTTTACTGGAATAAAAGTCTTTTATTACTAGAATGAAACTGTAATGTCAAATATTATTGCTACCATCATAATATATTCATTATCAATGATTAATTTTATGTGGCTGTTGGATTCACACCATTACTTTCTTAGTAACATTGCTAAATACTAGTAAACCTGAGGTTACAAATAATAGTGAATGAATGGATATGTACATATTTATATGTATGTGTGTTTAGCCAAGCAATATCAGTGCAATTTTATCACATCTGGATCTATTTGAATTTAAATTTGATTGAATTCAGTGGAAATTCATTCCATGTATTTATGTTTAAGTCTACAAAGTATAGTTGCAATAATTAGCAATTCTTGAAGTGAGTGGATTGTGATTGTGATTTTTGTATTCAAAGTTAAGGTAGTCTTCTCTAAAGTAGGAGCCTTCAAATAGATTGTTGGGGAATTCTGATAACTTTAGTCCAATACAAAGGTCCAAAGCTCCCACAGATATTACAACACATCTTGAAAACCAATAGATACTTACAATAATAAGCCTGGTCAACATTCATTCATTAAATAGAAGGAGTTTAATGACTGCCTTCTTCTGTAGAAATACTATTCATAAAAAGGACTATCAATTTTAAAATTGATATTTTTAATAATTCATGAAATATGTAAAATGTTGGTGATTATTAAGTAACATAAAATCTTATTTTAGATACATTGAAACCTAAAAAGAACCTGAACTTCTAAGAGGGGAATAATAAATTTACTAAAGTGAAATTATAAGCACTAGAAAAGAAATTCAAGCAATGTGATTGTTACTCTTTCTTGTCTAATAAATATATTAAAAAGGACAAATGCCAGTGCTAAATGGTCAGTTGAAATGTGGACAAATGCTCCCAAAATTGCATAAATAAATTAATCTTTATTCTCTATTACTCTTCATATAATATCAACTACTGATACTATTTAATATTCTATTAGTATTTCTGTCAAAATCAGAAAAAAATGAAGTTCTTCAAAGTTCTGGGCTGCAATGCATATTTATATTAAATAATGTAATATCAAAACTAAAGTTGAAGATTATATGAGGAGGAATCCAAGAATTGTAAAATGTTATAGAATGTATTTCTATAAATCAGAATAGCAATAAAATTAAGCATAATTAGTGGAATATAGGTTTGCTGCATGTCTCAGACTAAAGCAAACAAACATCTGGAATTGCATTAAGTCAATTGTTTGGGTTATAAAAGATGCAATGGATCTGACTTCTGGTTTGACGTTGCGGTGAAATGGGAGCAGGAAGACGAGGCTCCATCTTTTGTGTTCGATTTTGCCCCACTAGGGACCCTGGAAAGGGTCAAAAGTCACCCCATAGAGGTGACAAGCAAGGAGAGGATCCTCATTGATTTTGGGAGGGTGATGGCCCTTCCGTTTGATCCAAGGAAGCCCTCCAAAATGACAGGGGAAAGACTGGCTACATTCATGTAGCCAGTTAGAAGATGTTGACAACTGAAGAAAATAAGCACCAATGAGCAACTTTTCAGCAACATGGATGAAACTGTGTGATACTTTATTCTCTCTTTATGACTCTAAGACATTTTCTTGGAAAAAATTGCCCAAAGCACCCTCCCTGATTAGAGAGGGAAGGGGAATTTCCACCCCATTCCCTCAGGAAAAGAAAAGCGGTGAATTAATTGCTTGGGGGGAAAACAGAGAAGTTAATATAGACCACTGAAATACTAATGGACCCAGACAACACATTGCTTATTAAGTATTTGACTGTAAAACTAGAAAATTAATAAAATGTTTATTAAAAAAGATGCAGTGGATCTAAATAATTTTATTTTAATGAAATAATTTTATTATCTATTATTACTTATTATGGTTGGCCTCACAGTTGGCCAGTTTTGGCATTTGTATCCACTTACCAAGTCCTTTCCGAGGACCTGGGATAGGCAGATGTTGTTGTGTGATGGTGTTAAAGATGATGTGGCAATTGTACATTTGGAACCTTTTCTTCCAGTAGTCTTGCAGCTGCTGGCCCTGGTTGCTCAGCCTGAGCCCTGTACTCCATTTGTCACCAGATGTCCAGGAACCCCAACACCTAATGTGGTCTTTGCTGATCTGGGCAAACACTAATCCAGTGCAGATTTCTGTAAATGATGTCTTACCACATTGTTCATGAAAAAGACACTTTTCATCTGCTCCATTGAGGAAACCTGTTCAACATAGTTGAATGTCTTGCATAGCTCTCATCTTGCTCAGAGCACACAAGCCCCACAACCACATCAAGGTAGTGCCTTATTGGGGGGTTACCTATTATTATTACAAATAATAAATAGAAATCACAGTTTTGTCACAGGCTATCCACCTTCATTCTGTAAAGTAATTGCTTGCATTGACTGAAACTGTTGCCAGTTGTGAAGAAGAAAATGCTAGGCATTTAGATGTTATTGTTATAAATTCCAGATGCACAATAAGTCTGTATTGTGGTAGGGCAAGTATATTTAATATGGAATGATTTCCTGCTGGCTCCAGAGTTTAGAGGAAAGCATGGCAAAGTAACTGGAGAGTCAATTAGCTCTGGTAGGCTAGTTTATTATTATTATTATTATTATTATTATTATTATTATTATTATTATTATTATTATTATTATTATTATTATTATTANAAATCCCTATTAAAATCCCTATACAATCCCCCCCTAGGCCAATCCCGCTTGATGGAAAAGCCATGTCTTGAGGGCACGGCGGAAGGAGGGGAGATCCGGAATAATCCGGATCTCTGGGGGAAGTTCATTCCACAGGGTGGGGGCTCCCACAGAGAAGGCCCTCCCCCTGGGGGTCGCCAGCCGACACTGTTTGGCCGACAGCACCCTGAGGAGGCCCACTTTGTGGGAGCGTACCGGTCGATGGGAGGTAATCTGCGGCAGAAGACGGTCTCGGAGATACCCAGGTCCGATGATTTTCTCTTGCTCTGCCTGACCCTTGTTCTCTACTTCATCAGCCAATCTAATGCTTCATTTCAAGTTAGACTGGCCACAACTGAAAAATGGATGACATAGCAGTCCAAAGTGCCTAATAATTCCTAATTCTGAGGAGAGATTGCTACAAATGAGGTATTAGTTCTTTTTTTAAATAGTTTTTATTGATTTTTTGCAATAACAATATTTAGTGCTTAGTAAACAATGTGTTGTCTGCGTTCATATATTTGAAAAACAATAATAATTAATTTCTATAATTCCATGATCAATATATTAATTAATAGTATGTTTCCTTGATCTTCCCTTCTTCCAATATTATTCTCCTTCATCAACATTAGATAAATATAATAATATTTTCAATACATACAAGGTTGGATATAAACATTTTTTGTGTTTGTACAGATAGCAATAACATCCATATATAATATCTTTTCTAATTAACTTATGTTTTAATTATATTTGTAAAAGTCATCTTGTTAGGTCATTATGTGTCCTATTTTCAAAATTCTTATTTAAACTTAATTTCCCCTCAGTATTCAAACTATTCTTATTAGTCATAGTTTTCTCAAAATTAATTACCTAAATATCCAAACTTTTCATTGACATACCCCATCCCAATATTTTCATATTTCATATATTATAAAGATACCATACTACTTATATATCCTATAACATCCACAAATAACATCTTTTCTGAGCGGTTTATATTTCAATTATATTTATAAAAGTCATCTTATTGAGTCACTCTATATCCTATTTTCAAAATTCTTATTTAAGTTTATTTTCCTCTCGGTATTCAAATCATTCTTCTCAGTCATAATTCTCTCTAATTTAATTATCTTTAAATGTCTAAACTTTCCATTCACATACATCATCCCAGTATTTTAATATTTTATATATTATAAAAATACTATACTACTTATATCTCTTATCCCTCTTACTATAGGGCCCCTTTATATCCAAAATTATCTATTCTTTTAACCATATTCAAACAAATGTTTAATCATGTAGTACTCCATCTGGTAAGTCGAATCAGATTTCTTAAATCTAACTCTAGCCTTCTTCTTTTGCCAAATAGCTTTCCAAGTTAGTATGTTCCGCTTGCCAGGAAGTTCCTGTATTTTTGTAGGTGTTGTTGGGAGTGTGAAGGACAGGTTGAGTAGGATATACCCTTTTTGTCTCCCAGACTCTGATGATTTTCCTGGCAACTCTATAATCATTTTGTTAAATCTTCTTTCTTATCCTCGAATTTGTTTTGACATCCTGTTGGATAAAATATCTTTTCCATTTTCATTGTTGTAATAAAATCTTGTAGATTTTTTTCTGTTTGTGTTAAGTTATAGTTCTCTTCATTTGTAGCTTCCCTGTTTAAGTCACTTTCTTCTAGTTTGTATTCTGTTATTTGATTTGTTTGTTCATTCTTTATCGTTGTTTTTTGAGAGTTTTTTAATTGTAAGTTTAGATTGAAAATGTGCTCATTTATGTCATCAAAGTTGTTTTTGATCTCATTGTGGTTTGAAACTATTGAATCTGTCATAGCATTGCGTACATTTCCTCCTGAAAAGTACTTGTCTTGTCTTGGAGTATTACTCCTGCAGATCTCTGATGTTCCAGGCTAGATCTTTCAGAAGGGAATATTTGGTATGGTTCCCTGTCCCTTTTAGATAAATATGCAATATCCATTTCGTCTCCCTCCTCCAAATAGTCTTTCACCAGTACCATAAACTCTGTAATTAGTCTTATCGAGCCAGCCAATCTCAAAATCCAAACCATCAAATCTTATATAGTTCTTATCTTTATATATGGTTTTTGTAATCCAATGTACTTCTAGTTGTCAAGGTATCAGTGAAAGTAGTATTTTATAGCAATTCTTCTATTCAGGATCAGTTATCAACCTGTCAGAGTTGCAATCCAGAGTATTTAGCCAGAGCTAAAGTTCTGTTACAACATTGTGAACATTATCTTAGTTCATCTGCCTTAAGGAAAAATAATATTAAGGATTAATTACTGCACTCACTTCTAGGAAATTCCTGAAGGCTAATCTTAACAAGTTAATGAACTGTACTGTATAGCATTTTAAAATTACTTAGATTCAGAAATCCAAGTTTTTACACCATGGGACAAAGTTAACTCAGGCAAGTTCTATTAAACTGAAGAACATTTTTCTGTGCTCTTCTGAAAAAAAATTAAATGATTAGTAAATGATTAAATATTCTTTTACTGAGAATAATTACTCTTTTAATCTGGGAATAATTACTATTGCACCAGTGTATGATATTTAGAGAAATGTAACATAACAGTTATTACTTTTAGCAATAGCTTTCTGTACCATCATTAAGCACTTGAAAGACAAAAATAACATTTAATGGACAAGGAAAGAAGAACACCAGGAAGAAATAACTATAATATTATTTTCTGTGGACAGTTTCAGTTCAGTCATTTAGGAAGGGTTTGGGCATAACCTACTTAACTCCATGAACACATTTGGCTCTGAAAAGCATTTTGCAAGCCCATCCTTGAATCAGAACAAATGTTTTCCTTAGGAAGAATCTTCAATTAAGTTTAAATTTGATTTAGGCTGATATTTATTCAGGGTGTTGTATTCTGAATACCCAAATGCAAGCTACTGTATGTGTGACTTTCATATTTTATCTCTCTATTTCTCTCTGACTAATTTTCTATTTAATATTTTTTTTTTAAAAGTTTACCTTCCCCAATCTGTATTTCCATGCATTTTATACAACATATCATTGGCTATCTTCTATGGGAATTACTGGGAATATAGTTTGAAACACATAACAGATGCTTCCAGCCAAAGGCATTGGGTAATTTATAAAAGGGACTATTTTCTCAGACAGTGAAGATGAGTTGTGGGATTGACAGCAATGGTGAAAACATTCTTCCCAAGGCTAGGTTCAATTGATTCCCCACAACCACCACCAAAGGGATATATAACCCAAACCTGTGTAACTTTATTCAAAGTTAAACTCCACTGATTTAATGAAACCTATGCACAAGAAATTGAACATAAATTACAATCCAAATCTCTTAATTATTTAATATACAACAGTAGTATAAAATATCTCTCCAGTTATCTAACTGAATTTTGTGATGAGCAGAATTAATGCTGACTGAATGTAGATTTAGAAATACACTAAATCCAAAAATATTATTGTCTATCAACTATTGTTAACTCTGCAAGAAAATAATGTTGATGAATTTAAATGCATTATCAACTGTCACAGTTAACACAGAATATTATAGACAATGAAATATTATAGGAATATATATATAGGAATAACATAGAAGAAATTTAATATAAACTTATATGTTAATATCATTCACATTATTTGTTAAATAAAAAAGAAGAGGCAAATATTTTAAAAAACGGGAAAGAAAATAAATGTATCTATTTAGTTTGAAACACATTCTGTGCTATGAAAATTCCATTAATCCAATCAGCAGTTCAAATGGGCCCTAATAGGATGTTCTAATGTTGCTGGAATACATAACTGACAGCTGACAAGAAGATAAAAATGCAATATGATTAGGATATAATTATTCTGAATTGCTCTGATTTCTCAAAAACTGAAATCAGACTCTTTCCATCCTTACTGCACAGAAAGAAGGCTACTAAACTAGTCAGCTTATGGTCTTTAGAAATATTCAACATGTTCTAACAGATGTTTCCTTATTGTGCTATTTTTACTGGCAATTATGACCATTGAAAACTGTTATAAAATACATTTTTCTTAATACTATTTTTGTTTTCTTTGTTCCTTAATTATTCTCAAAGGTTATTATTTTATTATTTTATTATTTAATTCTCAAATTAAATGATATTGTTTGATTAACTTCTTTATTCTTTATTTTTTTACAGTAGCTAAGATTGAAATAGTCCAATGTAGCTGAAATGAAATAGAAAATGACTGCTTTTTCCCTACTATATGAATAAAGCTGAGGCAGATGTATGCTTCTGTGTCATCATGAACAAAAAGGGGTGCTTTTTTTGTCATAGAATGCCCATAACGGAGTTCCGGCAACTTTTTGGGATGGAACCTTGTAGGGTAGACAAGGCGGGTTGTATGACGTGTGTGAGTTCCAGCACCTTTTTTTTTTTTTTTTTACAAAAAAAGCACTGGTTTTAGGTAAATATGTTTGAAGTGAGGACATGCCAAAAATGAATTACATGCTTCCTCCAAAATACCTAGTCTCAGCTGAAAAGTGCTAAAAATGCTTACTTTCCCAAGATTCTAAGCTAAAACTGTTACTGTATAAGAGTGTGCTATTCAGTTGTATAATTATGGCTGGATTCTATGAGTGTAAAAATGTAAGTACTTCCTTTTATACTGAAAATACTATGACAACTTTAATGGTTATATTCCTTGTTACCTTCTGGGAGGAGGCTTTATGGTATCTAAAGCAGAACATCCAGATTCAGTCACAGCTTTGTTCCATACAGTATTAACCTTGTGAATTCTAAAGCTTCCTCCTTCCATTATGTATTCAAGATGGGCAGTGAATAATATTTATATGTTACTTATATGTAAGGGCAGTGGTGGGATTCAAATATGTGAACTACCGGTTCTCTGTGTGGATGCTGCTTCCAGAAGTCCATTCTGGGCCTAGGCAATAAACAATTAGCTACTGGTTCTGCCGAAGTGGTGTGAAGCGACTGAATCCCACCACTGTGTAAGGGTGTAGATCTATACATATATTGTATATAGTATGTTTTAAATGTGTTATGTATGTGTACACTTTGAGAGGAAGCAACTAAATTTCATTTTTAATGTGTGCCATTGTGCCCACAGGAAAAAAATGACAATAAAGGTTAACTATCTATCTTATAATGCCTGACACTGTCATGCCAAAAGGTAACAATGGGCTCCATCTACCATTTCTCTTAAAATTGGGGTTACTAAGCAACACATATTAAAAATGTAACACCACAAAATTTATAGTAGTTCTTTAAGCAGCTGAAAATCTTAGGACAATATTAAGACAAAGAAAACATGCAAATTTATTTTTTTTGTAAAATATTCTGAATATTTCAAGAAAAGTCAAGAAAAGTTCAAATATATGCAATTCTTTTATTTTTAGAATCATGCCATTATTATGATCAGAGAAAAATACACAGATCTCAACATTTTGCTTGGGCCTAATTAATAAACAGTTTTAATTAGGTTTGACCTTTTGAATCTGCTCATTGTGAGTTCATACCAAATGAAAAGTATGATTGAAGAATCCGAAGCTTTGTGTACCTTGCATTTATGACTCAAAAAATCTAAATTGGGTGTCCATCTAGCCATTCTGCCATAAAGCCCAGATCAGTAGAGGGCTGCAGTGTTTGTCCTTCTGAAACTCTGTCCTATCTCCACACAGGATTTTTGGATCTCATTGGGTTCTTGCTCACCTCTCCTACTAAGGCTCTTCTCCTCTGATTGCTCAGTTTGACTGGGCGACCAACTCTTGGAAGAGTGCTGGTTGTGCCAAATGTCTTTCATTTGAGAATTATGGAGGCCTCTATGTTCTTAGGAACCTTCAGTGCAGCAGAAATTTTATTGTAGCCTTCCACAGATCTATGCTGTGCAATAAACCTGTCTCTGATCTCTGCAAGCAATTCCTTTCATCTCATGGCTTTTGCTCTATTACAGTATGCATTGTCAGCTGTGAGGCCTTCTATAGAGAGGTGTGTGCCTTTCCAAATCATGTCCAATCAATTGAATTTACCACAGGTAGACTCCAATCAAGGTATAGAAACATGTCAGCCATGATCAAGAGAACTGGGAGGCACCTGAGCTAAATGTTATGTGTTGTTGTAAAGAGTCAGAATACTTATGCTAATGTGATTTTTAAGTTTTTCTTTTTAATAAGTTTACAGACATTTCTAAATTTCTGTTTTCACTTTATCATTATGGGGTATTGAGTGTAGCTTAATGAGAAAAAAAATTAATTTTAACAACTGTAGAATCAGGCTGCAGCATAACAGAATTGAAAAAGTGAAGGGGAGCTGAATGCACTGTAGAAAAAGTGAACTGTGTATAAAAATAAAGATTTATGAAATACGATCTGCAGTACTTAAATGCATAGTTTTTAAAGTGTTAAGGAATTTTAGAAAATTCCTAATTGTAAAGACCTGTGAAGAACAACACTTATTTCAGTTGGATGCATAATAACAATAAATAAAAACAACATGTTGGCTATATTTTTAAAATATATGAATTGTAAGACTATAATGTTAGTCCACATCCTTTGAATCCTTGAAAGTTTATTATCATGAAGAGAATAATAAAGAGTGAATTAAATTCTGAAGGCTCAGTGCACTAAATGAAACTTGTATGATAAGACATTGGAAAGAAGATGTAAAATATATATAAAATCTATTTAAAAATATAAAACTTTTTAAAATCATCTGTGTGAAAAAATAATCATAAAATCCTATTTGCACAAACCTTCAGGATCAAGGAGTTTCTCAATTCCCAGGTGTTGTTTTGCTATATTGAATGCATGATCTAATCGCTGCACAGTGGACTGTTGATAAACTACATCGTCCCAATTGAAGAGATCGGGCCTGGTGAAAAGAAAGCACAAAGTTACTTTCAGAATCATATATGGAATTTTATACTGTTAGTTACACTGTTGTGGTATAAATAATTGTATTAATCTGTGACTCTATATTTTCACCAAGAACAAGCCATTTGAATTTTCAAGGCTATGAAGAATTTTAATCATATTAAAGACAGTCATGCACAGAACAATCCATCATGTAGCAATAGAGTGCAGCATATAGAGAATAATCTTAAATTCAATAGACCCTTCTTCAGTTACTTTGCCTTATGGCAAAGAAGCACAAGTAATGGAGATCAGAAAACCTAAGTATGCCTTCTTTATTTAATCCAGGCATTTCCTTTTCTTTGATATAAGCTACATATTGTCCATTCTCTCTTAGTTTTCAGGCACATATAGATAAAAGACATGTGCAAACACTGACAAAAATTCTATGGAGAAACAGAGTGTTTACGCTACTATGTCATTTTGTTTCAGGACTCTATACCGTTTCAGTAATTCAGTCTCAATACTAAGCAAGTGGTGCAAGTTTGTTTGCTTATGCAACATTTCTGAGTAACACCAAAAATTTTCTGCCTGTGATATCATGGAACTTCCAGTGACAACATGGGAATCTCATGCATAATACCATTAAAAGGAAATAATTGGGTCTTAATGTCATGGGTCCGACAGATGAAACTCTTCAAAAGAGCTTCAAGGCATTGTTTACCTTAAAGAATCTTTTATTCGAGAAACAACGTATTGGCACTACATAGTTAAAGCCAAAAACTGAATTCCCCTCCCCTGGGCACAAAGTAGCAAAGCACAATTCCCTCCTCCAATTAACAGTCATAAATCACATTCCCCAATTAGCTTGAAGCGTGGGCTTTCTCCCCAGCTCTCCAGCCCGCCAAATCTTTATCAACTCTGGGCGCAATAACCTTGAATTCCCACAGCTGAGTTATTATTGTTATGACTAACTGGACTCTCATCCACATCCCCCCTCCCAGCATCAACTAACTCTAAAAGCAAAAGAGAAAAGATGTTGTCAAAGCAAAAACATCCGATGTTAGCAACGTTGACACTTAGTTTTGCCAGAGCTCATTGTCAAACATTTATTTTAGGAAAAAAAATAGATTATTTTTTAAAATTTGACACACTATGTTGTAAATTACCTTTCTTTCAAAGCCATAAGAATTGTATTACACACTAACCTCTGACTTTTTAAAAAAATTATATGCTGCTTGATTCCCAGAAACTCCAAACATTTCTTCAGAAATCAAACATTTTTATTAGAGTCATAATTTGGATTGTATACAATTTTAAAAGAGAATTTACAGAGTAATGATGCATTTTTATTATTATTTTATCTAAAGAAATTGAAACAAAAAATTGACATAAATTGAAATGGAACAAATTAAATACACTTTAAATGCTGACATTAGCCTAATCCTAATTCTAAAATACTAAAATAAACCTGACATTTAAATGCAAAAATACTAAAATATAAAATATTTAAAACTAAATTAAAAAGTAGGAAAGTTACTTTGTTTGATAAAATATTAAAATCCTAAGTAACTGGAGGTTTTAATGTGCTGATATACTTTACAATAAAATATTGGTTTGATAAACTACTAAAATCTTAACAAGTTAAAATACCTAAATGTGATTTTATCAGACCATCTATAAATCAGTTTATTTCCAATTAGAACTTAATTTTAATGTTTAAATTCCACATAATTATAGTCATTTACATGTTTTTAGATTAATTATAGCAGTGCCATGTTTGGCATATTGCTGGTAATATGATTTCAGTTGGTTTATCTAAACAGATGACTAACATAAGAATGTTACAATTTGTTTTGTTTTCCTTGGGCATCTCTTTTACATGCAAGAATACCGAAGGTCATGAACCAGTGTTTCTGAGATTCATTTCCTGTACAGCAAGGTCTTTCTTTAAGTGGTATATTTTCAAATCTATCATCAAGAACTGATAAAGGGAAGCTATTAAAGCAGACATTATATACAAGTGTTTTGTATATAATTGTGTCTTTTTGTTTAAAGGTATAAATGTATGTGTGTATACGTAACAGAGAGAGAATCTCTAGGATTTTTTTCCCCCAGTCCCACTACATGATAAATGTCTAATAGGTTGTAAAACACAATGTTAGCAAATTAATTTTCAGCATAAATTGACTTGTAAAGGTTTATGATAGCATGTCAGGATATTAAAAGATTTATCAGTTATTATATTTAATAACCCTTGGTTGTAGAAGAGTGAGCACCTTCTGTAAAAATACTAGAAACATTCAACAGCTTCAAAGATATAAATGCTGATATACAGTGTGGGTAAAAATACAAATGAGTCAAATATAGCTGCCCAAGAGGTCTGATAAGGGCCTAACAATAAACCTCTCTATTCTCTAAGTAAATAGGCATCAATCTGAAGTGAACATAACACTTTCAATTGGACCAAGTTTTATTAGCAACATAAAAGTAATGGTGCAAATCTAGATTCCAGGTAGCAATGTGCTAGCCCAGCTATGAGAATACAAAGAAATTACAGTAAGTAAACAATGTGCCTATACAGTATATCAACACAAGGATTGAGTATAATTGTATATAATAAAATGATTTTGGAAAGAGTAGTTCAATGCAACTGTGATTCATGGCAAGCATTTTTACAAGTAGCACTTCATATAAACTATACAGTTAATCTGCACAATTATCTTTTCTTTTGAGATCAATTGGCATTGTTTTCTTCAGAAAAATGGAGTGAATAATCTTATTGCTGCATCTTTTTCAGAAACAGACTAAAATCTTACCCAATCAATCTTATCGGGATTAAGCTGAAACCAATTCTTTGTTTCCTATTCAAACTGTATATCTTCTAGGAAAAGAACTTCTATAGAATTGTTTGGAGAGCTTGGGATAGGAATGTACAATTGACCCCTTTCTAAACATGCTTAATGGGAAAAGTACATCCTACAAAATAGTGCCTAAAACCAGACCTCTCTCCTACTATTGATATTAACTGGAATCAATTTTGGAGAAAAGAAGAGAATCCATAAATGGGATGCATTGAAAATATGGTTTGTGAATGTGTATAAATTATGCTGTGTTAACAATCTGCATTACATTTTTTAAAATTTAGTATTACATCTGATATTTAAATTTTCATTCATTAGTGTGAAACTATACATTATAAAGTTGTCCTATAGAATGAACTGAAAAGACATAAAATTCATAGCTGCAGCAGAGTCTGTAAGAACACGGGATTCACTAAACCCTCACTTTCTTAAGCATGCTTGAATTGCAACTTCTTCAGAGAGCTTTGGAACTGTAGTTATTTAAAAACAGGCTTCCAGTAAGTGGGACTTCATTCCAGATTAAAACAAAGAGTAAAATCAGATTTATGATTAATGGTAAAAAGCTTAAGTATAACAACCTTAAAAAAATTAAAATGGATTAAGGGAGTAGTTAATTTGAAATAATAGGATTTTTATTAAAGTACTTTTTAAATGATTATATAAATGAAATACCTTCATCAGAATTCAGACTGTTTATAGTTCTAGTGGAAAGATAATTGGCAGACTTTGCAAAACAAAACAATAAATGAATCCAGTAAATGAGACATTCCATGTGCCCATAAAATTACAGAATGTCTGAAGAGATCACATTTTAAGGACTTAAGGTGAAAAGGGGAAAAAAAAGAATTATCCCTTTCATTTCTACTTTAGTATCTGATTAAATGGCAAAGATTAATAAAAGTAAAAGGAAGGAATATAAAGTTTTATATTGTTTTATTTGATCAATGTTAAAATACAGTAGATATGTTCTGTCTGGTAACCCTTAATGGATTTTTGTGGACCACAGGACTGAAATGACTATGAATTTATTTATAGATAAGAGATAGAATATTGCAAGAAGAGATCATTTGTTGTATTTTAAGAGAAGATGATAAGTTACTAAAATTGTTTATACTTGTAATGAAGGTGGGAGGTAACCTTTCAATATATTTCATTTGTCCATCTTTACTATATTCTGATTTTTTAAATTTATTTTTCTTTTTTCCTTTCTTTTCTGTAGCTTTTACTCCTTTTTATTCTATGTTTTCAGTTTGCATTAGTTTTTTACTGTTGTAATTAGAATATTTCATAAAATGTCTGTATAAAAATAAATGATTCTTTTTTAACCCAGTGGGATTTATCAATAGAATTTTGGAGATTAGTGTTAAAAGATCTGATAAATGTGCTTTCATTATCATGCAGCATTAAAGAAACATGAAAATTAATTAGGCTAATTGCAATATGTTTTCTAGTCAAAATGTATCTCAAGTAATATTTGTCTATCATAATCAAAAATGAATGAGATAGTGTCACTCTAGCACACAATATAATCTAACTTATTCCAAGTATGCTGGCATGTTTAAATGTGAATAGTTTAGCATTTGAAACTTAGCATCTCTTAGGGCACCCCATAGGGTAGTTTATTGTAGGAGAAGCAAGATCTCTGCTTTAAATTTAGCTTCTGAAAAATAACTGCCCTGTTATTATTGTTATTTCTGAGTTGAACAAAGGACAGAATCTCACTGAATGGATTAAAACAGGGGTGTCAAACTCGATTTCACTGAAGGCCGCATCAGAGTTGTGGTTGATCTTGGGGGGCAGGGTGGGGGTGGCTGGGGTGGGCATAGTGGGGGTGGGCATGGCCAGGGTGGGTATGGCCAGCTCAATGCTGCTCATGTCTGGTGGCGCCTGTGGTGGCCCAGACGGGCCTGGGGGGGATCCATTGTCTCCAGCCAAGGAAGGCGAGACCAGGGCAAGCACTATACCCTTGTCCACCAGAGGAGCATTGCTGTTCCTCTTAGGCCATGCAGAGGACCCCCAGTGATGCAGGCTGCCGGAGCCCTGGGCAGTGGAGGGCAAGTGCCCAGTCCAGCCTTTCCCAAGGGGGCACCTGGCTGCACTTACTTCCTCCTCAAGGCGGCTACTGATTGGCTTGCTCTCCTTGGCCAAGTTGCTCATAGTGTGTGCTGGAGGGCAACATGTGTGAGTCAGAGGGAGGCCCACTCCCTCTCCCTGTGAGGAGACACGGCTTTGTAACCAAAGCATCCTTAGCGATAGGATGGGAAACCACCAGGAGAGGTCAGGAGAAGGGGACAAGGGAATGGCGAAAGGGTAGCAGGGCTGCTCGTGGCAATGTGCTAAGGCAGGACTTCCCTCAGACCCTTCCTCACTCTCATTATAATCTTCCTTCCTTCCTTCCTTCCTTCCTTCCTTCCGTCCTTCCTTCCTTCCTTCCTTCCTTCCTTCCTTCCTTCCTTCCTTCCTCCGTTTTCTTCTTTTTCCTTCCCTCTTCATTCTCTTTTCCTTCTTCTTCCTTCCCCTCTTTCCTTCTTTTTGTTTGTCTTTCCTCTTTCCCTTTCTCCTTTCTTGTCCCTTCTTGGATGCTCAAATGCAAAAGGGGAAATATTTTTGATGCCTCCTTGCCTTGTGATCAAATGCCACTTTTGCTAGTAGTCTGTGGCCACTTAAAATACTGAGAACAAACCAGGCTCAGTTTATCCCATGCTTGCATTTAGTGGGGGCATCCACAGACAGCAGTACAGCAAAACTGTCAAAATGGTGGCTATGATAATTGATCAGAGCTCCTCTGTTTTTTTATGTGCAATAACTTTAGCATTTAGGAACAGAGGTAAGTTAGTTGCTTTTCTATTAATACATAATCCTTAAAAGAGCTCTCCTGTAGGGACCCTGCCATGGTCTAATGCAGACTGGAAATATAGCAAAGGAAAATAATTTTCCCCACTCCACTTTGTCCTGTTTTCCCCACTGGAAATGGCTTTTTGCAACTCTTACTTTCCTAAGAGTTTACAATTCAAGAATACCAATGTTAACTTGGATTGCCAATNCCCTCCCTCCCACCCTCCCTCCGTTCCTTCCTTCCTTGCTTCCACCCTCCCTCCCTTCCTCCATTTCTTCCCTCCTCCGTTCCTTCCTTCCTCTGTTCCTTCCTTCCTTCCTCCCTCCCTCCCTTCCTTTCTCCCTCCCTCCCTTCTCATTCTCATATCTTTCCTTCCTCCACGCTCAGGAAGGGGTGATGGGAGGGGGAGATATTACCAATGCTGCCACCGCCCGTCGCTGTCCTACATGGGCGGGGCCGGTCCCAGTGAAAGGGAAGCCTTCTGGTTGCGAGACTAGGTCAGCGAGCAGGCCATGGAGGTGCTGGTGGGAGGGGGTGGCACTGATCTACAACATGGTTGCATCCATCAAAGCCAGAACACGCTCAGCCTTAGATCCATGGGGCAGCCCTGGAACCAGCGAGGAGCTGTCCTGCCACCTCTGCCCCACTCCCTAGGTGTGCGCACAGGAGACAACCAGCTCTGGTGTCCTGGGTGAAGTCAGCCTGTGGGGCAAGACAGCCAGCAGGGATGCTGGACTCCACCTGCTCACCTCCTCTTGCATGCATGACCAGGGGGTGGGGCAGATGCACCCGTCGCTGGTTCCAGGGCTGCACCATGGATCTAAGGCTGAGCATGTTCTGGCTTTGATGGTTGGCACCAGGTTGTAGATCAGTGGCTGGTCGGCCTGGGCCAGACCGAGATGCTGGACGCTGGTCCTTCATTGTTTCCAGAGCAAGTCCCCGGGCCAGACGGAATCACATGGTGGGCCAGATCTGGCCTGCGGGCCTTGTGTTTGACATGTCTGGACTAAAATATACTTTTCCATTCAAAATTATATAATATTCACTAATATGCTCAAAAGTAAAATTTAATTATACTTCTATGATTGTTTTATGCTAGTTGGCTAAGCCTTATGTATGTAATATTTACAAATTAATTTACCAAATTTTGACAGAAAATAAAAATTCTTAGCAATTATTATTAAAAGGAAAGCATATTCTAATGAGACCTTTATACATATGATTCAGAAATATAATTATTTACTTATTAATAATTTCTAAGATTGGCACATAATGATCTACTTGTTATGAACTGGCAATTATTCCAAATGTAAAAGTAACAACCTGATATTGATGTCTGGAACTACTTATCAGCTTTTTAGTGTTGAGTAACTCAGAGATAGTGGCTCATTCAAAAATCTTCTTTGAAATCTTGGGTTAATGTTACATGTGAATTCAGCTGATTTATAAAAAGGGCCTGTAGGACTATAGAGATGGGTACATACTATTATAATATTTCTAATTACTTGATTAATATGCTAGGGTAAGTCCAAACAAACCTCATTATTGCTTAATATGTTATATGAGTCCTTAATACGTTATATGAGTCAAATTTTATCTCCAAACGCCTGGAGTAAATCAAGCAGATTTTGATTGGCTGTTGATATTGCTGTTAATCTTGCAACTGTATTGCACTGCATGAATGGATGTATATATCCTAATATCTTATCACATTTATGCTTTCCACATTAGAACACTTACACCTAGTGTTGAAGGTGTTTGTGGAGAAATGTACTAATATTATCCATTGAAAGGTTTTATGTATATATTCGGATCCTAAAACTGAATCAGTTGCGCATAGATTGTTCAATTGTCCTATACATCCTTCTTACAGATCAAAGTTAATTCACTAACTATAATCCACACAGGTAAACCCCAATAGGGACTGTATTTTGTATTAAATGTTCAGAATTCAGTTTCCAGAAAAGTGAATCAATTTAGTTTAAAAAATCAAGCTTTTCTTAGTTTCTGTTATGAACAGAGAGTTTTGGCTGGATCCTTTGTATTTTAACAGTATATACTCACCACATACACACCATAAAAAGAGACAAAATGAGGCAGAGACAGACAGTCATAAGGAAAATTGCTTATTTACTAATAAATTTATAATACTTTCCCTACCTGTGACTGTGTATGAGCGCATTGAAAGCCAAACCATCAGACCAGCTATTGGTGAAATTAAAAACATTGACCTGTGGATAGTTCTGAGTTGATTGACGAACCCAGCTTAACAAGATCTTTTCACTGTTTGTTTGTTGCAGTCCAGCCATGATGCTTTTCATAACATTTTTTACCTAGGTTACAACACAGAATTTCAACATTAGCTATATTTGTTTATGAAGTCAACCCACTTCCCTTCTGTAAACCCAGCTTTTTCAACTTCCTTTTAGCGGGGGTGGGGGGGTTCAGCTCAATTATCCATAGGGCCTATGCTCTCAACTGAGAATCTGCCAAACTGAAATAAAATAAATTATTTCTACACATTTTAGTGCAGTAAAATTGTAACTTGAAGAAATAAATCATACATTTTAATTTCAATACATTTGATGAATAGCATATCAATGCAATTATAGATATGGATTTAATAAGGGTTAAACCTGGACTAATTTTATCTTCAACAATAACAAATATGTGCCTTTCAAAAAAATGTATTCAAGAGTTCAAGCTTTGAATGCTCTAGAAGGTGTTGCTGGGGATAAACTAGGGATCAATATCACCTCCCTCGCTCAAGATCTATCAAAGAATCATGAAAATTTATTTTTTTATTTGTAGAACATAAAGGCTGGATTTAATATATCAAGGAACATAATGCTATAACATGAAAGTAATCCTACATATATTCTTACATCTAGGGCTATGGAGAATTAGAAAGAGACAGAAAGGAAACATCAAGATTTGTTTCTAGAGAAGCAGCCATATTAATATTGTGTCTCTTAAAACTATCACATCGGTTAGAACATAAAATACTGAGACTTTTCATGTGAATGAGGTATAGTCTTAAGAAGTGAAATAATTTTGTTTTCATTTTCATGGGACCTTTGCTTGTTTTAGCAGTGATATAAAACCTTTTTTTTTTTAAAAAAAATACAGTTTTCCTTTGATTGATGTATGGGAGCCAGAGTCCTGATGCAAGTGTTAATAGAAAAGTGAAATAGGGAGAATCATGACAATGCATTTTAATTAAAATTACTTCTTCCCATACATTTGATTATTTGCCATATATTTAATGATTTATGAGGTACATAAAAATGGCAATTTGGTAATAACCTCTAGAAAATTTGTCTGAATTTTCCTGGTCTTTGCTGTACTGCCTTTTTTGTACCTTACATTGCAGTAATTCTCAAGATGGAATTAATAAAAGTAAAAAAACCACATATTCCATGTTTGTATATTCCTTAATACAGGGGTCCCCAAACTGTGGGCCACTGTCCCCCACTTGCACTAGTGCTGCCCTGAGTTTTGCATGGATGCTAGCCATGCCCTGAGTGTCTCGTGGACAGTAGTCCTGCGCTGAACATCGCACAGGCATTGGCCTGTCCCGAGCATTGCATGGCGCTAGACCCACTCCCAGCATTGGATGGACGCTCGTGCTGCCTCCAGCTTTGCATGGGCGCTAGTCCCACCCCCAGCATCTTGCAGGCACTAGCCCTGCTTCAGTATTGCCTGGGCGCTAGGCCCGCTACCAGCATTGCATGAGCACTAGCCTTACCCTGAGTGTCACGCAAGTGCTAGGCCCACCCCCAGCATCGCGCATATGCTCATGCTGCCCCCAGCATCCTGTGCACACTTGCACCTCCCCCTTTTGCATCGCACATGCACACAGGGCCACATGCCTGCCCCTTCCTTTCTCTCCAGGCTGCCAACCTAGAAAGGTTGGGGACCTCTGCCTTAATACCACAGAATAGAGCTCAAATTCCTTGACATTCTGCTGCCAGTCTAAATTCAACAGTTACTTTACTGTCCTTTAATTATTAACCATATATCATACAGTTCTTCCAAAAATTATATTCCAACCAATCTAAGGGTCAATTTATGATTTCTATCCATAATATCTATATTGTAATGTGCTGGTTCTCTTCCTTCCTTAGCAGCTAGCTCCAGTCTGTGTTGATCTAGAGTGAGAGCTCCTGGTCTCAACCCGTACTTTTTATGGTGCCACAAGATTCAGTATTTTCTACACTGATGTTTAAGAACTCCATGAAGCTTCTGGAAAAAGTCATATTAGGCATGGGGTGACCTGCCTATCTCCATATCTGGTGAAGTAAGCGATGTGTTGATATCATGTCTTGTTCCTAGTTAAAGCTCAAACCTGGCAAAACTGAGTGACTATGGATTTTAGGATGACTAGTTTCTGAGAATTTACTATCTTTAGTTCTGAATGAGGTGGCACTGCTCCAGACAGACTCAGTGCTCAATTTGATGCTCCTTTTGAAGTCACAACTGCGCTCACAAAAGAGCAAGTAGTACTTATGGCTACGAGGGCTTTTGAGCACCAGGAAACCATTTCTGGGTATGGAGGCTCTACATTAGTCATTCATGCCTTGAACACCTGGATGGATTACTGTAATGTGCTCTACAAGAGTTTGCCCTTGAAGTGTATTCAGAAGCTTCAACTGATGCAAAATGAGGCAGTGCAGACACTACAGCAACCTAAATCAGCACGTTACACCAAAGGTCTGCGAGCTGCATTTCTGATTAGTTTGCTTCTGGGTTCAATGTAAGGTGCTAGTAATGAACTATGAAGTCCTATAAATATTGGGCTGGGCTACTTGATGTATTTCTCTCCATTTACATCTATGCATCCCACCACATCTGGCAGAAAGGATATATTGTGGGTCACATCCACAATGTCATCTAAAAGGATGGAGGATAAGAGTCTTTTCTTTGGAACATCATTATTCTGAGGTTAGACTGGCCCCAGAAGACGCTAAAGACATGGTTTTGCCATCTGGCCTGGGGGAGTCTATTGATGTAGACACACCAAAGTGGTTATACTGTTAGGAAAATGAATGGTGCTCTCTCACAAATTATGTTTTTATGTTTTTGTTTTAATATTTTAATGAAGTTTGGGGGGGATTGTGGGGACTTTTTTATTTTTAACTTTGTAAATCACCCAGAGTCATAGAAATAAAATGGGCAATTACAAATATTTAACAATAATACAAATAAAGAGCTACATTAGTGTCCTTTGTTTATTAATCATACATCCTACAGCTCTTCCAAAACAATCATTTGATACCTGCCAGTGGAGAATTATACTCCAGACCAATCCAAGGGTCAATTTATGATTTCCATCCACAATATCTATACTGCCAATATTTACCAGATCTACCTGTTAGAACAAGACAAAACAGAATAAAAGATAGAAATTAAGCAATGTAAATGTTTTTATTTGCAAAGTAAAAGAGCAAGAACAAATGGGTTTATATTTCCAGGAGAATGGCAAAATACATTATTGCTGAATTAATATAATCAGACTTCTAAAAGTCATCATATTTTTTAAATGTACCCATTCAGGGTAATATGTGTGTTTGCATATTTATATACCATTTAGCTTGTAGAGATGAATAAATATCTAACAAATATTTGACAATTTGTTGACAGAATGTGAACAGTTGAAGTCATTAGAGGAAAATGAAATTGGCAAGGATGTAATATTATTCTACAAAATAAACATAAATGATTAAATGACTTTTAATAAAATGTTTTGGCAGCACAGAGAAAGAGAGCTTGCTGAAACAACTATATTTATATCTCCTTTCATAATATGCATTTTTTAAAATTATCCAGTAATTATAATTCTGAAAATGTAGGAAAGAAATGGAATAATAAAAGCAGAAATAATATATAGGCATTCCATTAATTTCTGGTTAATATAAAGTATTGTTATATCATCTCCATTGTAAAGATTTCATAGATATTATTTTGCATGTTCTCAATTCAGAAAAATTGACCATATCTTTATTTGAATCTATGATCCATTATATTTATCTGTCCTAACAGTAGGATTTTATGAGTTGGTATACTTCTACACATGTCAACTCATAAAATTTCCAGATTCTCCTTCATTAGAGTCTTCTATCTAATTTTCACACCGTTAACTTTCATGATTCAAAGAACATGCATACAATTTTGCCCCAAACGTTTCTTTAACAGGATATGTCTCCATATTTTTTTACTTTATTATGTATACTTGGATGATATTTTTGCCAAATACATCATTTCTGCATCTATACTAATTATTCTAACCAGATTATTTTCTTATTTGATCTCTGTGTGTTACCTAACCTATAATTAACACTTCCATTGATGTTCCTGCCTATCTTACCCATCAATCAGAAACTCACGTTTCTCCATTAGAGACAAATTATTTATCCATCTAAGGCAGGGGTATCAAACTCAATTTCACTGAGGGCCACATCAGCATTGCAGTTGCCCTCGGGGGGGTTGGGGGGGTGTGGCCACAGTGGGTGTGGCCTACTGGGTGGGCGTGGATGGAATGGGTGTGGCCAGCTCTACATCGTCGCGTCAAGGGTGTCTGTGGGGGCCTGGGCAGCAGTGGGACAGATCTGAGGGTCTCTGGCAGAAGGGGGTGGGACCAGGGCAAGTGACAAGGCATGGTCCACTGGAGGAGCCTCACTGTTCCTCTCAGGCCATGCGGGGGGGGACTGAATGGTGGCACGGGCTGCCCAGAGTCTTGGGCAGCAGAGGTCAAATGCCTAGCCTGGCCCTTGAGCACCCACAGCACCAAGCCCAGCTCCACTTCCCCAAGGGGGTGCCCAGCTGCACTTACCTCCTCCTCAAGGCTGCTGCTGCTGTGCTTGCTCTCCTTACCCAGGTTGCTCCTGATGGGTACGAGGGCAAAGTCAGAGGGAGGCTCATTCCCTCTCCATGGGAGGAGACCCAGCTTTGTATCCAAAGCTTCCTTAGCAATAGGATGGGACACCCCCAAGATAGGCCAGGAGGAGGGGGCAAGGGGATGGTGAAAGGGCAGCAGGGGAGGACTAAGGCAGGACTTCCCTCAGATCCTCCCTCTCCTTCTTTCCTTTCTTCCTTCCTAAGTACAGAGTGGTGGGAAAATATTTGGTATGAGGGAGGGAGAAAAACAGGCAAGAAACGCAGCTGGGGAGATGTCACCCTTCGTGATGAATGAAGAAATGCACCATCGCGTGGAAGTGGCCAGCACATGGCCCTCACCTACTTCACATATCTGGCTTGGTGGGCTCTGGGGGAGGGGAAGCCATGAGCAGCGTGAGAGTCAACATTACTTGTGCAATGCTGCCCAGCCCCCAGCCTGCCCGGTTTCAGCAGGAAGTGGGGGGCTCTCCTCACAGCGCCGAGAGGTTGAGCCGGGTGGTGTGAAGCTCGCCAGCTTTTCACCTTGCTGCCTGCTGAAACTGGGCAGGCTGGGGGCTAGGCAGCATTGCACTTCTCATCAGATTCACGCCACCCCACTCAGCTCTTGGCGCTGTGAGGAGAGTGCCCTGCTGCCTGCTGAAACAGGCAGGCTGGGAGCTGGGCGGCCTCGTGTTTCTTTTGGGATTTGTGCCACCCGGCTCAGCCTCTCGGCGCTGTGAGGAGAGTGCCTCGCTGCCTGCCGAAACCCCTCCCCCAGAGCCCATCAAGTTGATTATGTGAAGTAGGGGAGGGCCATTTGCTGACCACTTCCAGGTGATGGTGCATTTTTTCATTCCTCACAAAGAGTTACACCTCCCCAGCATGCACCCAGGGAGTGCAGCCAATGCGGCAGGGGCTGGTTCCTCGCTGTTTTCAAACAGCCTTGTGGAGCTAAGACTGAATGCGTTTCAGTATAGATGGCCACCACAAAATTGTACATTGGCTCCCGGCTGGCCTGGGCCAAGGCCACGGCAGTGGGGGCCGTTCCCTCACTGTTTCCAGGATGGCTTTGCAGGTCACATGAAACCACTTCGCGGGCCGCATTCGGCCCCCAGGCCTTGTGTTTGACATGTCTGATCTAAGGAGTCATTTACTACATGTATCACACAAACATTTTCCTGAGCCTTTCTATTAATGCATTACTCCTCCAATTCTAGAGCTTGTCAACACAAAACTGACAAGGCTGATACATCCACATTGTAGTCATTTAATGCATCGCCAGTTATATAGCATCCTAAGGAAGTATTTGTTAACAGAATGAAATATTTTTGTGATGCTGATGTGAAGAAGAACATTGGTCTCAAGGATAAACAATATTATCAGGCTTGATTTTTATTCCAGTTCTTTTCTTTTTCAAATTTTACAATATCATTGTAGATTTTTCAGATTCCATTTTTTACAAGAATAAAGTTCACTATGAAAGTATAATACCATGGTGGCGAACCTATGGCACGCACGCTGTTGCCCCAGTCCTAGATCTTCAGCTGGGTTTTATAAAACTTTTTTGCTTTAGGCCTCCACCACTGTGTGCAAAAAAAAAGTTCAATCAATCAATCAATTTCAACTTCTCGCAGGAAAAAAAAAAGATCTTGCAAAGTTGGAATCGATTGATTGAACTTTTTAGTCCCACTCAGTCTGCTGTTACCACTGCAGCCATGCCATCTCAATGGGCCATGCCCACCCAGCACCCGATGATACATAAATGGGTTTTGGGTTGCAGTTTGGGCACTCGGTCTCTAAAAGGTTCACCATCACTGGTCTAATATGTCTATACTCTCCTCTTTGTGAATAACAGGTTCCTCAACCTACTGTAACAAAGAGATATTTGAAACACAATGTTCAGATAGTTACAAATTAGAAATTGGCCCATTAACTCTTCAAAACTGCAGCTGCTTTCTGACATAATTTCACAATGTCTAAAGTATTTCAATATATCATTAAATATGAAAGATTAAAAAGTAATTCTTTTATGGAATGTATAGCAAGACCAACACACACACACACACACACACACACACA